TATCACGAACTCCCTTGTAGTGGCTAGGGCGATGCTTTGGCAGGGGCGAGCGATACCACGACAGGATGGTCGTACTAGGACTCGAAATATAAATATACGGAGCTAGGACTGAACTATATGATAAACTCGAATTATACGGAGCTAGGACTCGAACTCGGCCCGTAGCTAGGACTCGAACTCGGGCCATGCTCGAACTCGGGCCATGGCTAGGGCTCGACTCGGGGCTAGGACTCGAACTCGGGCCATGGCTAGGACTCGAACTCGGGCCATGGCTTGGACTCGAACTCGGCCCGAAACTAGGACTCGAACCCCTGTGTGTATAGGCCATCCTAGTCCCCAGCCGCAGGTTTTATCACTTTACTACGGAATGATAATGATGAATAACTAAACTTTATCGTGTTCAAATAATACCAGAAACCCATCTATAAATAAAAAAATGATCATACACAAAATAAAAGAACAAAGACAACAATAACAATAACAACAACGATTTATCAACTGCTAAAAAAAAAAAAAAAAAAAAAAAGACATGAAAGTAACTCCAGCGAGTCATGAATGTTCCATCAGAAATTTATCGACGAAGACGCAATTATTCTCCTTCGGGTGAAAGCGCGAAAGCAGAATTACATCAGACTTAATGCTTGAGACAATAAAATCAGAGCCCACGCCTGCCACTCCGAAAGGGGGAAGAAAACGGGGCCTCAAAGGGAGATTGTGGCTTGGCTTTGATTGCACATGAATATTGGATGCACATCAATCTTGTGTTAGGAGAGAAGGCGTTGAATTCCGGTATGCAAAGGGTATTTTCCTCGGTTTTATGATTTGGGTGGGAGAGAGAGAGAGAGAGAGTTATAGAGATAGATGGGTAGGTAGATAGTGATGGGGGGGGGGGTGGAGGGGGAGAGGGAAGAGGAAGAGGAAGGGGAAAGAGAAGTAGGGAGTAAGGAAGGAGGGAGGCAGGAGGGAGAGAGAGAGAGAGAGAGAGAGAGAGAGAGAGGGGGGGGGGGGGGGAGGGAGAGAGAGAGAGAGTTATAAAAGATAGATGGGTAGGTAGATAGTGATGGGGGGGGGGGGTGGAGGGGGGAGAGAAGAGGAAGAGGGAGGGGAAGAGAAAGTAGGGAGAGTAGGGAGTAAGGAAGGAGGGAGGCAGGAAGGGAGAGAGAGAGAGAGAGAGAGAGAGAGAGAGAGAGAGAGAGAGAGAGAGAGAGAGAGAGAGAGAGAGAGAGAGAGAGAGAGAGAGAGAGAGAGAGAGAGAGAGAGAGAGGGGGGGAGAGAGAGAGAAAGAGAGAGAGAGAGAGAGAGAGAGAGAGAGAGAGAGAGAGAGAGAGAGAGAGAGAGAGAGAGAGAGAGAGAGAGAGAGAGAGAGAGAGAGAGAGAGAGAGAGAGAGAGAGAGAGAGAGAGAGAGAGAGAGAGAGAGAGAGAGAGAGAGAGAGAGAGAGAGAGAGAGAGAGAGAGAGAGAGAGAGAGAGAGAGAGAGGAGACACACACACGCCTACGTTTGAAGAATCATAAAACACACCTCATCTCCGGCTTGTTTACAAAACAGATTTGTTTTCACTGCAAACGTGCAATAGTATTAGAATTTTATTTTCAGCTGTATTTGACTATCTGTCATCTTTTTTGTTGGATGAAAAAAATACGTCAGTTAATCAAGGTTGTATATTTGTGCCATTTGTGGAGAGTTTGTGTGGAAAAAAACGAGTGGACAAATTTTATAACGACCTTTACGCTCCACGTCTCGCCGCCTTTTAAGACATATTTCACTTCCCTCTTTTCGACACCTCGTAATTCTCCTAAACTCTAAAATATCGAGAAGGTGACTATATTTCCTTCGTGAACCAAAATTATCAAGTGAAAGCCATAGTTTACTGCCATAATAGGAAGTGGAAAAGTGCCCTTGATATCGTTTAACGTATCTATATTAAATCATGAAAATGGAATTCTTTCAGTAAGTGCGCAAAGGTGGTTGCTAAAGTTTGCCCCTTAAGACAGCGCCATGAGCCGGTCAGGAGCAGTGCAAGTCACAGAGGGAAACATGAACTCTAACTACCGTTGGCTTCGTGAACTGTATCTACAAGAACGATCTCTAAAAAAACAACACTAATACATATTTACTCTCGTAGAATGGCATGGTAGAGTGCTCACTTTAGAGAGAACGCACGAGTATTTTGCCTCTTTTTTCCCTTTTATGCTTTGGTTATAATGCCATTTGCAAGTATGTCTGGCAAAGCAGCCAATTTCCATGTGTCATTAAGTGGGAAATGTTATGAGCCACTAGGAAGAATGGCTGTCGTAATCCCCAGAGAGTTAGGCCAACGGTTATAAGAGGCATTGAAGTAAATTGAATTCACAAATCTACACATATACTCGAATATCGCATAACTGTATACAAAGACCAGGGAACTCCACTCATTATATGACAATAGCTTTTGATTAAGGTAATCGACCTTATGATACCAATGCCATGAACAAGGCAAACGAGGCGATATCATGACTGCAAGCCTGAGGTACCTTCCCAATCGTAAAGGCATGTGGGTCGTTATGGATTCATACTTTCTACCTCTACACTTTGCTGAATTTGCTCGGAGGATCAAGACGTGTTTTTGCTGACGATCGCTGCGTCAGCTTTAATTCGGTTATAACAAAATGTTAGAGAATGCCTG